CTTTTAACATCCGGGAGGGATGCTTTGGCACCATTTAGGAGGGGGCACAATGGAGTCACTGCCCTTCGCCTGGCACTTGGTCCAAAAAACACCCCCGGAACGTCACGTCTTCCACACTCTATGTCACCGATTTGGCAATTTAGCCGGTTAACATCGCTGCCCTCCTGCTATACCACTGTTGACATTGTAAATGTTCGCTTGCGATGGAGGAATAACACGGGCGTTTGTTTATAAATGTTCAGAAAAACTTGCCATGATCCTGTCGTGGATACGAAAGAGTCGTGTGAATGATGCACAAGAGCTGCAAGTGAACTTGATCATCCTTCGTCAAGGCCGCGAGGGGCTGGCATGGCGCTGGCAGTTAGCCTTTTGTTCCACTTCAGGACCAGTTCTCTTCCGGTCTGAACACAGCTCCGTGGGCACGAGGCAGCCAGAGGCCACCTGCCAGGTGTATTCCATGCCAAGTGCAGCTTTACCACTGCACATTCAAGACGTGCGGTGCGTGCGGTGACTGGTCACAACCACGTGGAAGTAGTTATGTGGGGAGCGGCGAGCGCGCTGCGCTACAAATCAAGTGACCCGAGTTCGATTCCCACTCACGGTCAGCACCAGTGACGATTATCTTAACTGGTTATGGGGCAATATGGAGATAAAGGTGGCCAGGGGCGTGGTGCTGGCCACCCACCCCATCGTGTGCAGTGGCAGCCTTCATAGATGCTCGCTAACAGCACTTGCCCCAACAGTCTGTTAAGAGGCCATACGGGGGATATTTCCCTTTCTAGTTAAAATAAAGTGTCGGTGTGTGTCTGGTTATTAATAGGTGTCTGTATGTGGGTGTCTCGTTCTAGCCATGTGTAAGGATGTCTGGTTAGGTGGGAGTGGTGGCACAATGATTAGCACACTGCAACACAATCCTGGTATCCCAGGATTGATTCCTGGAAAGAGTTTTTAAGATTTTTGTATTGTTCAGGTCTGTCTGTAATTTTCATAGTTGTGATCAGAATGATAAACATTGTCACAACTTAACAATATCGTAACGTTTTACGTTTTTAAATCATCTCCGTTAAAATAGCTTTAATTACCGTGATTATGAATGTTTTTAACTCAATTGTAATCTTTTGAGTAATTTATTTTGACGATTTCCTATTGTAGATATGACATTATAAAATGTCATTCTAATTCTATTTATACCTTCGTAAAAAATGCAATTTCAATATTTAAGAAATCGAGTAGTTATAACTGTGCAACACTCTAGAAAAATACATAACGAACCAAATGGCAATCATCGGATACACGACGTGCCCTTTCCCAAGAGCAAGTTATAATTTCAGATGAAAAAAAACGATTTGATTCGCAAGTTACCAAGTTCCCCAACATGATAGACATGTTAAAAATAATCCATCGAGCTCCGTCAGACAGCTGCAGTTGCGAGCAATTCGAGGAGTAACAGTGTCGTACAAGTTTCGCAATTAAAATACCAACGCAAGGTTTTTTTTTGTGTGCTAGGCCCACGCAACCTACAAGACGGGCACAATTTTTGCATTGTGGATGCACCGCACGTGTATTTCTCACTACTCATCCTGAAGGTCTCTTGCTAGACCCCCGAGAGGTCAGCGGGCATTGTACCGTGGGGTTCGCTTGTTGGGAGTCGGAGTAGCTCCGTGCTGGGGGAGCTCCGTGTGTCCGTCGGGCACAGCGGGGCGCAGCGGCCCGTCCGTCTCATTCTCAGAGCGGCGGGCGGGCGGGCGAGCAGGCAGGAGTGTTGCGCTGCTGCTCATCACCGCTAGGGTGCTGTGATGTGAAGGAAGGGCCCTTGCCCGAAATGTTGCCTATTTCTATTAAAACTCTAAACTAATCTTTTTTTTTATTTTACCAGAGAAGGCCCACTGAGCTATACAGCTGTTTTTTTTGGAAGCGACCTGGCCACAAATTATAGCTCAACCAAAGTGGCTTATCACGTGGAAATGTATATAGCAGCCAAATAGTCTAAACGCGGATTTCTAAATGTGGAGAGGAAAAAAACGGAGGATCCGGAGGAAAAATCTCCACGACCATGGGGAGAGAGACACACAAACTCCAAATATATAGCAGGCATCGTCAGGATCGGGATCGAATCCATGAACTCCTGTATATCATGACTTAAAGCTTTCGTGACTGCAGGAATTCATATTCTTGGGTCTTTCGGTAAAGTCACATAGATAGGTTCAAAGAAAATAACAAAAAAGAACATTTTTTTTCTAATTTTCTTTGAACCTATCTATGTGACTTTACCGAAACACCCAAGAATATCCTGTATACCAGGCGAGGTAGTTGACATCTCGGCACTGCGCCGCCCCAAATGACACATTTGTTCCTCGGTGTTATTGACGAACGTGTTGAGTTTTTGTCTCGGGTGGTCTGATACAGCGAGAATACAGTATTAGGGAAATGAGACACGACCTTCAGGGAGTGACCTCCAGAAACCGTAATCCATGAATTTGCATGTGTGTGATGGCCCCGCAGCGGCAAAGGGAGCAGCGGCGCACAGTCTAACGCTCGCTATGTGTGCGTGTGAGTGTGTGAATAAAGTAACTTTCCCCTTTGAATAAAGTATGCCTCCATGAATTTTAGATCATATCCTTCTCTGTGATCGAAAGAAAGGTCATTGCCCAAAACTTTATCTTGCAATACTTTGTTTTTGTAATTGTAAAGTAGTGTTAATGAAAAATCCGGCACTTGTAATTCATACTGTGCTCCCTTGAGTCTGACCAACAAAGTTCCATCCACTGCTGGATGAAGGGGTCCTGCGCGCGAGCTGATCCAATCGCTCCATCTCCGCGGAGGTCGCCCTCGCTGGTGTGTTCCCTCATCGTCCGGTTGCCACAGCGTCGCCGGTCTCGGCCGTCGGCTATTGCCGCTTCTAGCGACGCGTCCTGCCCAGGGCCGCTTGCTTTCCTGAACAGTTCCACGAGGGACTTGATTTGTGTCGGTCTGTTGAAACCCCATGTGGTACTCCGTCCGTCCATTTTCTCAGCGCCATTCTAAGCGTGAAAATTCTTCAGGCGCGTTGTGCTCCAGCGGATTGAGCGACAGCAGGTTTGGTTTTGAGAAACCAAACATGATCGTGAAAAGCACCGTATACATGTTCTCTTGCATTGCTGCCAAGTCTCTGAGATTTTATCTGAAATGCATTACACAGACCCTTCGATATGCACAGGCCTGTAGAGAGCCATTATCGGACCTTCCTTCAACGTACGCCCGCTGTAAATCCCCCTCTCATTAAACACTCTAATGCCTATAATGCACGTGCTGTCAATTACACTCACTACGATATGTATGACATCCTATAATCACCATGTCGTCAATTACCCTGGAATGCAAATCATTAACATAATGGATGCCTATTTATTTACAACTTTAATTATTGACTTTGTTATTTCATCAATATGTTGTGAAGAAGTAAAATACACGACAGCAAAATTCAACGAGCTATGAAAATGTATCTGATATGGGAATGTCGAACGTCCACTGCATGCTCAGGGCTGCTCAGAGGACATGAGGACCGCTCCAGTGTTCAGTTGAGCTGGGTAGTACGTGGGCTCTGTTCATACAGATTCATGAAGCAGTCCCCCCCCCCCCTCCTTAACCACTTGCCCGCTCATCTCTTACAGCCTCACCCTCTTCTCCATTGCCCTTCCTCTTCCCCTCCTCTCCGACCCCCCGTATATTCCCACCCCCTCCCCCATGCACCCCTCTACCGTGCTCGCCCATTCCTCATCCCTCGCACCCCACCCGCCATCTAAATTATTGTTTTGTCGATACCCTTTTTTTTTATAACGTTAAGCGCCTTGATCATGGGCGCCCTACATGAATGTGGAAAATAAGATGAGCTTAGCGCCTTGTTTCAAGGTTTACTTACTTGTGCATGTAGGCATGGCCACTCGCACCACAATCACGGCCCACACCGTCACTCGCTACTGTGAGCCACCAAAGCGCTTTCCTCAACAACAGGAAAAATAACTTTCGTGGCCTGAACTTTCGGAAAACCGTGGGACAGCTCCTCCCAGGAGGCCTCATTAGGAGAGGAGCCATCTCACAACGGAGGCGTTGCGAAGAGGCGCAGCGGCAAGCCTCCACGCACTGGCCACACGGCAGCCCCATTCTCAAGGGAATGGGCCTGCCACCTTCCTGGCCCTGTACAACCGCAACTTGCTGCAGTTTAGAAAAAACGTAGTATTTCTGAATAAGTAAGAATTTTAAGTGCAGAACCTACACTTCACATCTTGAATAAATTAACTGCATTGTATTAAACGTAAAGAAAGTGCTGTGGGTCTTAAAATAGCAAAAGTAGTATTTTGTGGAAACTCATCAACTTCTTAAACGGCACAGTCACATATTCCATGCCACGTTCTCTAGGAGTGTGATCAGGAACGTCAAAGAAAAGAACACACCAGGTCCAACATCATGCATCGGTGCAAGATTTTAAAAAAATCAACACAAGAGGGACAGCAACCACAGCAATGGTGTCCACATTGCAATGGTGTCCAGCAATCGTTTGCAAAAGTTTGATTTCTGCGTTTGCATCAAATTTAAATGAGAACTCAATGGAATGAATATTGCAGAGTAGCCTACACGTTCACCTTGAATGACTGATTCTGCTCAATTCCGGTCGTGTGCGGTCTTGTGCGGGCGCTTTGACGGCGACTGCTTGGCTCGTGGTCCCCACTGCTGCATTTGCTCTCTCACCCCTCGCATTTTTCCACAAAAGCTGCTCAAACCGATTGCAAGGGCAAACCAGGCAGTGCCGCGGCCTCCTCGTCAACACGAGAGATACGGGCGTGCGTCGCAGACCTGCAGGAGCGCGTCTCAAACGAACCGTCGTCCCGAACTCGACAGGGCCTCATCGGCGCGCCGCAACTTTCTTGTGCCGGGGGCTCGTGCCCGCACACAAGGGGGCGGGCGGGCGGACGGGCGGGCGGGCATCCGCGGTGTTGCCGGGGGAGCGCCGCAAGGCCACCTACCCGTGTCCACGTCGGCGGGACGCACGATGATGGGGCTGTCGGTGGGCACGCTGATGGCGCGACGCAGGATGCGCCCTTTGCACGACTCGGAGCGCAGCTCATGCAGCAGCTCCGGGCGGATCTGCGGGGAGCAGGGCAGGGGGGGAAGGGGGTGCAGCAGATGGCAGCGTCAGCATCAGCGCCGCGCACGTGCGCAGCTCTGACCGTGGCTGGCCAGCCACAGCAAAAGTTTATTCTGGATGCAAACTCAGACGCAACGTCAGGGAACTGTGCTGGCACTGCCTGCAGAAGAACAAACCAAACGATGTTCACCATGGTCATCATTAACGCCGCGTTCAAACTTAAAACATCCCGGTAACAAACGTAAATATATATACACTCCGGCAGAATGTCTCCTTCACACATCTGTCCCTCCACTTACAAAAAACAAGTATTTTAAACACATCCCATCAGCCCCACGGGCATCTGGCAAGTGCATAGTTTCAGCAGCATTGGTTCAACACAACCAAACTTTGGACTGGTTTCAACATGAAGTATCTCATCAGCATTCAGGATTTCTTGAACCAATGCTGGTGAACCACTAGCTGCTTTATAGGCACCGTCTGTGTTAGATATGGATCTTACTTTGATGCTAAATTATATAACACGCATTGCTGAATAATGAATTGATCATCAAAAGAGTGCTCTATTTAGCTGGGCGGCAAGGTGGCACAAAGGTGACATTTGTGCCACGCAGCTATAAAGCCTTGGGTTCAATTTCTTGGCTCGGGATCCTTTCCACATGTAGTTTGTATGTTTGTTTGTTCTCCCCCCATTCTGTGTGGGGTTTTCTCCCAGGTTCCACCGGTGTCCTCCCATAGCTAAAACAAAAAACTAAATTAAAAAAATAACAACCCATGCAAAACAAACGGTGTTGACCAAAACATCCCGATGCTGAAAATGTATCTGCGAATACCGCATTGGGATCCCACAGAGCGGCATCCGACGTCGTCATTGCCCCCCCACTATAGAAACGTGAGCTGGATCCCCCCCCCCCCATTGAAAAACAATTTGAGACTGAGCGAGGCCCCCCGGTACTGCCGGAGCTGTCGTCAAGTTGTCCACGCTTGATCTCACGCGACAACTCGCGTACCTCGGCGCGCATTTAAATTTGCGCGACCGACCCTCGCCCAAAAAAATCTACCGCGAATCATACTCCGTTGTGAATTACCAGAACCCCAACGTGCGCGAATTGATCATTTATAAAGCGCCCTCAAACAATCGTTCTCAGGACGCTACTTAAAATAACGAAAAGTAAAAAAACATTCGCCCAGAAAAGCAAGGAAAGGTGGAAAAGGCCACAAAGGGAAATAAAACAAAGAGCTAAACACGAGGAGAGCAAAGGCAGAAGAGGCGGGAGCGGCGAGACGACACGCCGGCGCTCCCTACCGCCCTGGAAGTGATCGGTGATCTGAATTACGAGAAGCCCCAACAGTGGAGCAAATCGACGACACTGAATCCCCTCTGATCTTCCTCCCGTGGAGGAGGAATAAAAGGTCTTCGTCACCCAGAAGCTTATCTCACTGCTGAACAAATTAAGAGGTAGATCCATAAGCATTTGCTATTCAAACAAAAGCCACAGACAATAAAAAAAGGTTGGCAATCTTAATTTGAAGCTTTCGTGGCTGCAGGAATCCATGCTCGTAGGTTCTTTCGGTAACATCAACACGTGACTTTACCGAAATAACCAAAGAGTAAAGGTTGGGAAGTGTTTGGAAGGCGAAATGCAAAGGTTGCGTCATCGTGCACGTGTTGATGATGATAATGTAAACTTGTAAAGTGCCATCCCATAGTATTCGCTCATCGCTCTGTCCTAGACAGAGACAAAGAAGACGACCCAGAGGCATCAGGAAGAACCACATGAGCGGGGAAGCAGCAGCAGCAGCCACGCAGTGAGCACACCGCCAACAACTGCCCAAGCTCTGCAGTCCTCTGTATATGAAGGCGTAATTAGCCAATTAATAGGCGTTTACATGTGGGAGGGAACTGAAACAGCCGGGGGAAACCCACGCGTTCTCCCGGTGAGCTCGAGTGTGACATCTCGAGTATGACAACTCGACACCCACAGGAAGGAAGGGAGTTTCACAGCGTTTGCGCCATCCACCAACCCTTGCTGCCTCCACAGTGCCGGACCACAGGCCCTGTAACCAGCCACCAACCCTTGCTGCCTCCACAGTGCCGGACCACAGGCCCTGTAACCAGCCACCAACGCCCGGCTAATTGTTCGAATATTTTTAGGGTGTTTGGAGCAATCTACTTTCAAAACAAAGGCGCAGAAAAATATTCTTACGCAGTGGCATGCGACGTAGACACACACAAGTCAATTGATTTTGCTGAATGTAGTTCTGATTGCAGCTCTTCTCTCTGTCTGCACTTGGCGAGACTTTGGATACAAATGAAGCAGCGCACGTGGTCAAGAGCCTAATTATGGTCCCAACAAACTTCACTTTCGCTCGAATTGCCTAGCCACGACCATTGTAGAATTTCACGAAATCATCTCTTAGAGCTGAAATTGCAAACGGCGCTCAGGAGGACTCCGTGGGGGTCACGGCCACTTGTCGCAGGGGACGCGCGCTTTATCGCGTTTCACCGATTGGAATAGAATTTACTTCGGGGTTGATCCCCCCACTCCGGTTTTTAGGGGAGCGCAGAAGCCTCGAGGAGTCCTGATTGGCCGACTGTGTTGCTCGCTAATGAGAACGACATTTCGAGCGGCCGCCCGCCACCCACCGGTGAGTTACAAAGGGCCCTTAATTGCACCATTTGCCTCTGAAACGGAGGCAGAGCTTGCATGGGTCCTAGATTTTTTTTATTTTGGTTAATTCACCGTGGGAACATTTAGAGAGAGAAAAAAAGCCCGTTAATTGGTGTGGGCATCAAGACGATGTCGGGGTGTTGTACCCCAGAGGAGATGCCACGGCCACGGCTGAAGACTTGCAAGGCAATCGTACTGCGTTGTGCCTTCCGATTCAAGCAAGCACTCTCGCTTCCCCGTGCTCAAACACTCATGTTCCGCTCGTGGCGAAGTGTTAACTCCCTCGCCAGGTATGCAGGAGGACGTGGGTTCGATCCCAGCCCCGACGCCTGTATATTTGCAGTTTGCATGTCTCTCTCTCTCCCCGTGGTCGTGTGGATTTATCTCCAGGTCCTCCGGTGTTTCCCTCCAAATTTAAAATCAATAACGCGCGTTTAGAGTATGTGGCTGCTGCTGTAAATTGTCCACGTGATAAGCCACTTTGTTGAGCTATCACATAGCTCAATGGGCCTTACCTGGTGAAATACAAATAGGTTATAGCTTTATAGTGCCGATAAACACTAACGCTTTATTCTGCGTACCAGACCTCGACACAAATTCATTCCTGCCTCCCAAACAGGTAGCAATCCTCGTTTCTAGTGTGCCGTATACATTTGAATATCATTAGAATGTGCATTGTGCATCTCAAGCAGACGCGGCCGAGGCACGGGGAGCCGCGACTCGGGGCCACTGCGCTCTGCGCGCGTTGTGCAACAGAGCGTCCTCGAGGGGTGCGCGGATCCCTGGGGGTACACGTGGCCATGTCCTCAGGGGAACGGGAGGTGATTTATAAATGTGTGAAATTATATCATACATGAGAGTCGCTGGTGAATAATCACGTATGAATCTGCCAATGTAAAATCACTAGGATAACGTGTAAATCCACGTGGTAACCTTGAATGATATAAGAGACCTTTCTAAACTCAGTGATCATAAACAATGTGGTTAACAAGCGTAACCAGCGGGCGCGAACACATTACTCAATTGCAGTTGCTAGCTAGTTACGATACCTCACAAAATGGGCAATTGTTTAAAATATTGATGTCCATTAGTCATACTTGTATTTCTCAGCACCATGACGGTTGAAACAAAATTTAACAAGGGGGGTCACAGTAGCCAAAGAAAGTTGAGAAACCACTGCCCTAGGGCTGCCACCACGTGTCCATGCACGTGTCCACGCACATTTGCACGCTCGCGTGCCTGCTCGTCTTCGTGTCCACTCGTGTGTGTGCGTGTGTCCGTGCGTGTCTGTGCGTGTCTGTGCGTGCGCGTGTCCACTCGTGCGTGTCCGTGCGTATGTGTGTCCGTGCGCGCTCGTGCGCAGCGAGGTCAGAGGGCTCAGGGTGCTCATCTTGTCGCAGCAGTAATTGGGGAGCTGCGCAAGGCGTCTGTGACCCCACCACGCACGAAGCTTCATACTGCGGAACTGGGACGTTACCTGGTAGACAGAAGTGTGCCAAGTAGCCCGAGGGGGCAGCTCGTCGTGATGTCTCGTGGCCAAAGCCTGCTGGGCAGAGCCAAGGGGGCTGCGAACTCTGACTCACGGACCCTATTATATATTGGATTGCTCCCGTCTGTGGATTGAACGTGCGCGGAGTGTTGAGCGACCCTTCCCTCGTATGCGTGAGGTTTCCTCCGGGTACTCAGCTCTCCTCCCACACGAAGCCAAACACTCAACAGCTGCACTGCATTGGACTCACATCCCAATGGAGGTAAAGGGGCAGCCCTGCAGTTGCTCGAGTGAGCCCTTCAACAGGGTATTTTGGAACACCCTTCCATCCCAGCCATATATTTTGGAACAGGTGAAAGTACTCACACTTTACCCCACCACACTGGCCTGCCAATCGACTGCAGTGTCCCGATTTACTTTAATACTGCTGCACGAGCAGGTCCCCAAGTTTGGAATGACGCGGCCATCCGCCCAGGAAGGACTTTCTTTGGCAAGTGAGTCTGTGGCGGTTTAGACACGTGCTCTCTCGCCCCGTCGACCAAACAAACCCGGGCAAGACACACGGACACAGTGAAGACACACAGCAGCAGCAGGCGGACGCCAGGAGGATCGTTAGCCGAGTGGGCTTGTCACTGGCCGTTAGGAACACAGCCAGTGCTTACGGAACGTACGTTCGTCGAGGAAGCTCATTGGCGATGGCAGTGGGCCGCTGTGGGGTCGCCACCCTTCAGCCAGAACGTTGACAACACTGGGCAGCTCAAGCGCAGGAAGCGAGGGCTCCAGAGGCCACAGCTGACTTGGAATGTTGTGGAGGAACTGGGTCGAGCTCTGTAGATTT